GGAAGAAATTCATGTGCGATTGCAAAAAGGACAAAAAAGGAACAAGGAACTTCAATAAAAACATTTGCTTCGATTCATCCTGTTATTTTTCGGTTCGCAGTAATAAATTACCAAAACGCCGACTCCGAGAGTTTTCAATTCCTAGCCGAGAAAAGAAATATGGAACATACAGTTTGGTTCGAAATACGCCTGTTTATTACCTTAGCAAAGATTCGAAAACGTGTTTCCTCAGCAAAGGGAGTAGTCGAGAGAAGAAAACACACGAATAGTTATAGACTCAAAGAACCGTAGTTCTCCGCGCGATTAAAGCCCGTTGGAGAAAATGGGTTCGGACCACAAGTGTCAGGGTGCGCCGAGGGAAGAGATACGTTCCGAGGTTCCGATAGCAAACTTCGTCCCAGAAAAAGCAAAGCCGAGCGGAGCGGGGCGGGGCGGGGCGCAGCGTTAATGGATTTCTCCCCGATGTAGGTCAGATGGCTTTCAGCGACGCCCCTCGCTGCTCGGGGGCGTTTTAAGGGCCCGCGCTGCCGGAAGACGGGCTGATGCGCGCACTTGGCGGCGCCGTAAAACGTATTTTGATGTCGCCAAGATACAAACCCACTACGCAAGCGCCCGAGTTTACGAAATAAGCGGATGCGGGGCCAGAAGCTGCGTGGATCGACGGTGCGTTCGGCACGTGGGGAGACGCTGCAATTGGAGCGTTTGGGACGGGGCTGCTCAAATGCAAGAATTGGGGCCAGACTGCCCGTTGAAGCTGTGTAGGCGTGCCGCTCACCTTTCACTATACTTCGATTTATTTGTAGTGGCACTTGATGAAAGTCAGTTGTTATGGTGTCATCCAATCAGAAGCTTAAACGACACTGCAATGACGTCACTATCGTTACGTTAGCGCTCCCGATTGGATGATACAGTAACAGCTGTGTAAACGTCAAGAGCCATTATAAATATATCGAAGTGCAGAACAGTGCCGGTCGAAGCCGATTCCGAGCACCACCTCTCCCTCCCCTTGCGGAAGGGTAACCTCGATACGCAGTGGGGTACACCGGTGGCCCACAGATAAGCCAGGACATGATAAAGGGGCCGCCTACTTGAGTAGCCCTGGGGTAGCCCAACGAAGCCCCTTTCCTGTGACAGTCGCCGGTATACAAAGATAAAAAACACGTATGGCGCATCGGTACACTAAGAATTGTCATTTTTCAGAAAAAAAAACATTATAATCTGAGCTAAAACATTTATTTTGCAAACCAAAGACAGCGACTATATCTATTGCCTGTCTTGTAAACTATATTTATAAAATTTTAACAGGTAAAAACAAGCCACTCGTATTTCAAACCATATTTCTTCGCCTCACTAAAAAGTTGCTTTCAAGATGTGTCGCTTTTCTTGAGCATGGCAGATATTTGTTACTTATACGAATTTAAAAGTGTTTATCAATAATTGTTTCCACCCTTACTATGATATAACAGTATTACACCGAATGAACCGCCTTTTATAAAGCACTCCAACACATTCTGCACAATCAAACGAACAAATGATGAAAACGAATCAAACGAACAAATGATGAAAACGAATCAAACGAACAAATGATGCTACAAAAAAACGGTTGATTACTATATATCAATCTGACAACAAATTATTTTGTTCCATAACGTCCAGAACTTTGTGGTTGTGATGAGTAGTAAACATACATGGTAAATTTAACTGGAGAGAAAATGTGTAACTCAAATTCAAATTCGCAAATTTGTTAATTGACCCAATTCGCTTGCGAATGACAGTAACCCTGCATAAGCCCGATCATCATCTTGTACAGATGTAAAGCATCTGCACATGATGGATTTGTTATCTTGTACAGGTGCAGAACATTGTAATATTTCGATACGTTAAAAGATCACAAAAATTTGAAAAACACTCAAAACGGCTTCTCCAAGTACGCCTACTTTTGAAATGAAAACGACAGGATTGTGAGAGTTTCCGTATGCGTTAATTTTGGTCATTAGTCCAATGAGTGTAGTACATGTTATATACCTGGAAGGTTGCAGTGTGGTACGTACGTAACCCCCGACAGGTACTAATATCCGGCGCGGACCTACACGTCGGATAGCAGATTTTTCCTTCTCCAGGTATCTCCCATCGGGTCATCGTTTCAGCTTGGATAATATCTTAACTTCTATGTGCTCTCTGTACATGTGTGAAGTGAATATAATTTAAGTGCGAATGTGTAAGGGGATGAGGAAGAGACAAGAATGTGGAAGGAAAGATTGCGCGCAATCCGCGGTCGACTTTTTAGGGTAGTGCTCCGATAATCGCTTGATATTAATTGTAAAAATCCCGAAAACGACAGATTACAGTAGCCGTCCCCTAGAATTCTCCTCCAGAAACCTACATAGCCAGTGTGAAATCCGCCACTATCGGAAATGGAACCGTATCTGGTCATAGATGCTGCAGCGGCAACGGAGTTTGTCACTGAGTCACCTCAGCCGGTTGAAATTATTTATTACTAATCAGTGATGTTATGAGAAGCATAATTACATTCCCATTTGACCCCTGAAATGACTTAACTGAAAATGAACGCTGACTACTTTTTAAGAATAGTGAACACGAATACCTTCGGTCTTCCTCTAATTATATAGACGGTGTTGTTAGTAAAAGTAAAGTGCAAAAAAATGGAGCGCTGCAGTGTGTCTGGCACTTGGGAAGATACCACTTTGGAATTGGAGCGTTTAACCCCTCCAAAGTCTCGCCCTGGTTGTGTTGAATTGTGTGCATTGTTCTAAATTTGGAGTCTGCATCAATTCTATTCGACTAATTAAATTAAAGGCTAACGCCACGTTAATGCACCGGTTGCGGGGACAACTGATCTGCGTGCTACAAAACCTGGTGTCGAAGTTCCGCGTGAGGAACCTTATGTGAATGAAGTAGAGGGTCCTGCAAAACCCGTAATATCATTCATAGTATCATTTATTACAACTTGTGGCATAAAGCCCAAACCTACAGAAAGGTTAAAAATGACAATAACGATGATAATAATAATAATAATAATAATAATAATGATAATAATAATGATAATAATGATAATGATAATAATAATAATGAATATAATAATAATAATAATAATAATAATAATAATAATAACCGAGTGAAGTGGTTCAGTGCGTAGCGCGCTAAATTCGCAATCGGGAGGTCTGAGTTTGATCCCCGAGCCGGCCATCCGGACCGTTTGTTTTTCTTTCGTAGTTTCCTTTTGTGATACAGCGAATGCTGGAATGGTTCCAACACCTCACCTCCCACCATCATCCTAGTCCTTTGGAGCTGGGGGGTTCATGAAAAACCGCGTTTACCGTAACCGAAGTCGAGGATCGTGATGACCTTCGGCGCATTGAAAGTGAAGCGGTAGAAATAAAAGGTTCAACCTGGCAAAGTTGTGCACTTCACAGAGGCCGTACAGTGCAGATGCCTGTCTTGCGTTCACGCAAGATGAGGCCATTTTGAACACTTGTAGAGCCCCTGGTACACGAAGTGATAATGCGTAAATTTGGCCTTGTCGCAAATATCCTTTATACGAATAACAGTTAAATAATAGTTTTGTTTTGTCTCTCCTTTCGCATAGTTAGATAAGTAGGCAATAATAATAACAACAGGATACAATAATGAATGTAATATTTGGGCTACATTTTTTGCAAAATATGATCAATGACAAAACATATTTTTCCCAAAATTTTGAATAGAGTTTACACTATTTCCTTTTGCAGTCATGAATAACTTAGTGTACTTCCCCAGGTCCTGTATAAGGAACGAGGACTGAATCACCTTGTATTATGTATTTAAACGTAATAAAAATTACGTGCAATTTACACTACATTGTGCAAATTGATCCTATAATTCCAAAGGTAAATACATAAAGATATTGTCAGGTATCAATATTTTAATTCAATTTATGATCATTTCGATCGCGTAGCGATCATCCTCAGAGCTTGCAGCTTCTGGACCGAAAACAAAGTTCTGCCTTCTTTTTATTTATCATAATAAAAAGGTATCTACTTCACCAACAATCCAATTAATAATTCCAAAGGTATCCTGAAGTTCAAAGCGAAGCTATATACAGAACTGCGGTTGGCGTAGTAGGGCATCTAAAAGCCGGCGGTTCACGTGTTTATTGCGCTGGCGCTGTTGTGTTTGGGCCAGCCTTTGTCAGAGGCGGCCCACCTGGGCCTGGTGGCCTTGGTCCATTCGGCCTCGGCGGCGGAGGCAGCGAGACGGAGGCTGCGTCGGCGCCGCCCGACGCCGCCCGACGGTCCTCTTTCCCCCCTCCCCCCACCCTCGCCCCGTTAACACCCTTCTTGTGCCTCAGCCTCTACCTGCGGGTCCGCGACCGCAAGCAATAGGTCAGCATCCCAAGTACGCCAATCAAGAGAACCTCTGCGGTCTTCAGACGCGATTTAGTGCTGTGCGCCTGGTCCCAGATGAATATTTTATTTGAGAGTGAGGTTTTAGAACTAATTATGCAATTAAGTGTGATATTTTGCAGGTAGAATATCTAAACTTCACATTAGTCAAGCCTACATTGATCAACTATAAAATACTCCACAAAATAATGCATTATTTCACCGCGCAAGCCTTCACAGCAATTCACGTTTCCTTGCCTTTCGCACTACACTGAACTGTTATGCCTTTCTTTCATTTCACTTTTGTAGCATAATAATACACGTAAATTATTATTATTATAATAATTTATTATTATAATATTAATATTAATAATAATTAATAATAACAATAATAATAATGCTATACAACTTACTGTACAGAGAAGAGTAACTTAACAGTAGGAAGACATCTGTTATATACATGAAGTAATATGAACATAAACAGCTAGAAAACATAAATTTGATAAAGCTTGGAGGGTTCAAAAATTGACGCAGACACATTGTTCCAGCACCAAATATTTTAATTTGAAATGAAAACTTCCTATCTTCCGTTTTCTGTATTGTCTGACTTTAGTGCACATGATGCGCTATTCCGAAGTATGTAGGGTTCCTTAAATGACTATGAATTTCATTCCAAACTAGATAGCTTGTGTATGCTTTTGTTGCATTTCTACTCCAGCTTCAGTTCTATCCCACAATTACCGATCACGCCGAAAAATCCGTAAGGTCGTCAGGGATCCAAAAAGACAATCTATAAAATGGTCAAATTTCAGGAGACTCTGAACGAAGCAATGAATTTCGCGGTGAAAGACTACGATTTATTGCTCATATTCCCTACCTTGGGAACAAGCTTTACGAGATTTTTACTAGTTGCATTTTTTTAGCCAAGGGCAAAAAAAGGCCTCCTTCTAGAGCAGGAAATTATTAATACTTCTTTAATGAAGTGATAGGATGATGGTGGAGGGATGATCACCTATACATCTATGTCTGAGGCGGAACTCGAACCCGCGACCCTTCGATTCGAGATCCCGTCGCCACGACACTACTGCCTTAGCGATCTCGACTATGCGAATCGACAGTTACAGTTTCTATTTTCTAAACATATTTTTTCACTTATCTAAAAAACTATTTTTGATGTGTGTTCCTATTCAGTAGGAATACTTATTTTGCAAATGTGGATTATTGTTAAGAGCATGAACGAGAAATATTTTCTGCTTCCATCAATGTAAAGGTGATAGGTTTTAGAACTGGAATTCATTGAGGACAATTCCGAGATAGCCGTACCTGGAATTTTAATCTGCAGGACCAAACAAACCTATAGTCACATTCTCCTCTCCCACATTTCACACTTTTTATTTTAAAGCTGCAGATTTTAATCTGCTGTCGTCACTCTCGTGTCTGTCCCGGACACTGCTTTCGCGGCCACTGCAACCACAGTCGTCGCCGCGGCCTCCCCCGCTCCGCTCTGCTGAAGGCAAGGCTGTCGCCACGTGCTATTCATAGCAGATTGTGGGAGCTACCGCTCCCCCTCTCTGCGTGCTTCTCGTGGCACCGCCCCCGCCGCCCCACGCCACCTCACGCCACTGTCACCGCCGCCCACCGCCCCCGCTGCCCCTACTGCCTTGCTCCCGCGCCCGCCCAGCCACCGCCCTTGCGCCACCACCGCTGCTCCGCCGACCCACGTACGCTCCCGCCTACCGCCGCTCCCGCTACGCTCCTGCACCGACCCCTCGACCGCCACTGCTCCCCGCCACCCGCTGCTTCCGTCTCTTCCCATCGCCCACCACCCCCCGCTCCTGCAGCCGACCACACCGCGGCCACTGCAGCCGCCCCCGCCGTCTCCACCCCCTGACCTTACCGCTATTGTCATCCCACCGTCGCCTTAGCTGCTACCGCACTCTTCGCGACCCTCAATCCCGTCGCCACCCCCGTGACGCTGCCCCGAACCCGACGGGTTCCACCAGCACTTTGTCTCATTCCTGAAACCACGCCTGCCTCCGCTACCCGACCCCATCTCCCCAAAGCCGACTCCGCGTTCTGGTTCCCACATACATCACACCGCGCTGGTTGGGCTGGTGACCAGCTCTGTCCGCGCGCTACCGCTCTAAGAGCTTTCGGGCGTCAAGAGGCCTGCTTCTGCTGCTCCTCACTAGGAATCTCACGCCTCGGGGACAGCTCAACCGCTAATGGGCAACACTTGCTATTACATCAGGGGAGGAGATAAATGCTGTTCTAAAGGGATCGGTATACATTCACGAAAGATGAATAAAAACACATTCCATCACTTCTGCCGCTGACCTTCCTGTAATATTATATTACATTTCGAATATAAACGAGTACAAACAAGTATACCGCACAAACATTACTGTATAAAAGCTCATGAATCCAAAAATAATATATTTTTTTATTATCGTAATTACCATGTCTCTCTGAATCCGAATCTTTCCCTCACCTCAATAAAAATTGTATGTTTGAGAAGACAAGAGTGTGCGTCCAGTCAGGTCATGATAGCCAAGCGTCAGCGCCATCTATGTAGGTGTAGGGTGGCCCCTTCCTTCTTGCCGCACTTGCACTGATGGGCTTACGAACTTCGCTGATCAGAGTTTACATACGAGCTATGACTGATTCGGGTTTATAGACGAGATTAATGGAGAAAGGTATCTAACCAAGAAGGTTGTACCTGGAGTACCGAGAGGTGTGTAGACATAAAACAGGAATAAAACTTATTGTAGAATTCAACGAAACAGTTTTTAAGAAAGGCCTTAATTTAATTTTTTATGTATTAAGATGTTAGGTATGAATCCAAGATAAACGTTTCCCTTATTTAACATTTTAGCGAATAATATTTCCGGGTAATGTTGTATGATATTACAGGTATTATAGTTTTATCTTCTTGCAATTGATACAAAAAGTACCGATAATTTTTGCATACTTTAATTCGCAGTAATTATAATCATATTTTCTATTTCAATTTCCGAAACTCACATTTGCTTTAAAAATTAGTTGTTTAACGCCATCACGAAGAGAAGGAAGGTTTCTGTCGGTATAGATGGAACACTGCCTTCCAAGATGGTGCATTGCTTTCATTCTTCAGATGCCAGATTTTTTTGTTAGAACATCGTAAACACTCTTCAGGGTAAATGGAACAAGGCTGGCACGAAAGATCAATAAATCGTAGAGCCTGGGAGAGAGAAGTGTTCAATACTTTCTTTCAGTTGTTGAAATCTCAAAGCATTCTTTCAGTGATATATTAAGTGTGTGAGCACTCTTTAGTATTTTATTCATCGTTTTCAAACTTGCAGAATGTTTGGAAGCTGTGAAAGTAGAAATATCGCATTAGCGTTTCTTGTTGTAAGTTTGTAACTAAAGGTATATTCTAATTTCAAGTACCGGCAGTGGCGAATATTCCATACCGACTGCATAACTGAGTTGAAGACGGGCACTACCTGAATGATAATTCTAGAGGATGCTCTGATCGGTCGGTTGTGAGATTTCCCCCCATCAATGATTGGCGGACACCAGTGTAGAATGAAAACAACGGGCTAAGGAACGCGAGCTACATATATTTCATGTCGCACTGGTATCGTTAGGACTGGAAGAGGGTTTCGGGTTTTCTTAAGCGTAAGCATGGATGTTTTAACCTTCTAGTGTAAGAACGAATCACCATGCACCTTTAATCACAAAAAAGGGTTATTTTATAACACTTTTCCCTAGGAAAAAACTGTACGTGTAGCCAACATCTGGTTGGAGATGGCACAATCCTATGCCGTGGCATTTTCTTGCGTAACCAGCTTGTAAAGTCAAGTTGTACCTAAAAAAACTTTAGTTCTATCTGATGGAGACCTTTTTACAAACGGTTCATGAAATTTTGTCATGTTTGGATAATATTTATTTACGACATTCATATTGAAACATCCATTCATATTCATTTTGACATTTTCATTCATTGATCCTCGCAAGACAAATAACCAAAACCCATCGCTCTACACACTCAGATGCAACATCAATAGCGGCATACAGACTTAAAAAATAAACTTGCCTAAAATATCAACCAGGTTTATTTTTCTTTTATTTCTGGAGGAGCATTAGCCTGTCCTCGCACTAGCTACATGCCTGGCACTAGCAAGGAGGAGGAAAAGAAGCATGAAAAAAGTAGAATAAATGAAGGAGCAGGCAGGCGAAGAAAATGAATAAGAAGGCGAAGCACGGGATGAATTAGTAGAGACAGGAGAGGCCGAAGCAGCATCGGTTTACTGGCGTCGGTGCTGCGCTTCTGTTTCGCTACCCCTTCCAGCGCTCCGCTCTCCGTAGCGGGCGGGCGCGGCCCCTGTGGAGCAATGCAGAACGTGCGCTGTCGCTCGCAGACAGATCGGTTGTCGGTGGTGGTGGCGGGGGTGAGGGGCG